GCTTCTCATCTTTTCCTGCCTCTGGACTGATTGAAACACTGGCTAGCTGGTTCTCAGGTCTTCAGACTCAAACTAAGTCATATAGATGGCTTTCTTGGGTCCCCACCTTGCAGAAAGTAGATGGTGGGACTTCTTAGCCTCCATAAAAACATGCAAGCCAATTTGTCATAATAAATCTCCTTGTATACATGTAATTTTCAGCTGGTTGTTTCTCTGAAGAACCCTAATACAGATAGATGCTTTCCAAAGATCTAAGGAATTCAGCACATTAATGAGAGCATGAATTCAGTTTGATTAAAAAGAAAAAAAATGTATCCCAAGAATAAAGGTAACCTTCATTTATAGAACACATTCTTAGGGGATGCCTACCTAGGGTTTTGGCATGATCAATCACACAAACACTGACATTTCTGAAATTGTTCAGAAATTGTCCAGTTTCTTCACTTGTTCTTATTTGTATATTTTCTTTAAAAAGTTTTCACAGCATTTTCATGAAATAACTTTTTCCAAACAATTTTTGCTTTTACTTAACAAGATTTACCTCTGTATTCTAATTGCTTCGGTTCATAAGTTTGGTAAAAGACTCGTATGTTAGTCAGGATTTTCACATATCTTTTCCTGCCAAATCAGAAATTCGCTTCCATATTTTTACTGATAATGCTACACAACCTGAGTTGTATGTACAACACTAAATTGTGCTGTCCCTACACACGAAAACAGTGAAACTGAGAACTGCTTCCATAAGGATGCAGGTTAGATGGAATCAAGCTCTATAAACATGTGAAGCTGCATCAGCACTCAGAGCTTAGATGCCAGCTATTCTTGTGAGTGCATTTAACCACATCATCTTTTGCCCGGGTCCTCCTGGGCCTATCACAACTAAAACTACATGATGAGGAGATTTAGCAAAGCCAACTGTGCAGTGTCCATAAATGCAAGAAACAGAGACAGGAAAAGACCTGGAAGGGCTACAAAGAGAAGGCAGGTTCGGCTAGCACACATGAAGACGCAAAAATCAATGATCTGAAACAAAAATAATAGACTTTGACATTTTAAAATGTACATTGTCTTTTCTACAAGAGTATCATTCTGCCACCCCGCCCCAAGTTAGTTATGTATTGATTCAATTATACATTTCTGTGTGCCAGAAAACACATATAGCTGTTTGGCAAAAAATAACTTAATGGATTCATAGGGTGTTACTTTGTGCCTTAATGATATTAAAACCTACTATAGAGTGATGAAATGGAGAAGGAGAGAGGCTCTAACAATACAAAAATCCTTACCTTTAAGCTTATGCTTAAACTTATACCTTTAAGTTGATGCCACAAACATAAACTATATCATAAACTTAGGCATAGCCTTTTAACTAAGTTTATATACAAACAAAAATATATACTATATAATAAAAGTCTAATATGCTAAGTCCAGTCATCTGTTCAACCAATTAAAGCGTAATATGCTAATGATATGCTAAGGATGCTCAACTGCCTGCTATGACGTGCACTGACCACCAGGGGGCAGATGCTCCGACCAGTAGTTTAGCTTGCTGCTGGGGTTTGGCCGATCCAGAATGAGCAAGAAGGGCCAGACATGCCCTGGAGCCCTACTGCAGTCCCTCCCCGGCCCTGATTGTGCACCGGTGGGGTCCCTCAGCCTGACCTGCACCCTCTAGAAATTCGGGACCCCTCAGGGGATGTCGGAGAGCCGGTTTTGGCCCGATCCTGCAGGCCAAATTTGTGCACCAGGCCTCTAATATGCATTTATTTATATATATATATATATATTTTTTTTTTTTTCCCAAAGGACTAAATAAGTGAAACACAAAATAGAAACTATTTCACACATTAAATAACCTTCAAATCAAACTCCTTTTCTACTGGTCTGAACAGAGATAAGTGCTATTAATCTCTTATGACAGTACTAGTGGCCTGGTGCACGAAATTCGTGCACATTAAAAGGGAATTAATTAGAGGAAATATTTCAATATTTCTACTTGCCCTTTCTCTGTAATAGAAGTGTCAGAGATGAAAGAAAATTAGTAAAATGTATATGAAAATCTTTCTCCTGTCAAAGTCTGGGGCATGCCGTGGGACCCAGAGTCAAGTCCCCACCCACCTGCGTGCACCTTGAAATTACACAAGACCCAGACCCGGCCAGCCCCACACCCGTCAAGCCCTGCTGGGCGGGGGCACAGCCTCGGGTCCCCTGGCCTGGCGCCATGCAGGGGGTGCAGCCTCAGGTTCCCTGTCAAGCCCCACCGGGTGGTGGTTGGGGGCACAGCCTCAGGTCCCCCATCAAGCCCCACCAGGTGGGGGGGTGCAGCCTCAGGTCCCCCGTCAAGCCCCACCAGGTGGGGGGGGTGCAGCCTCAGGTCCTCCAGCCCGGTGCCATGACGGGGGGCGCGGACTGAGGTACCCTGGTCCAGTGCCAGGGCAGGGTGCATGGCCTGAGGTCCCCCATCAAGCCCCACCAGGTGGGGGGGGTGCAGCCTCAGGTCCTCCAGCCCGGTGCCATGACGGGGGGCAGGTCCAGTGCCAGGGCAGGGTGCATGGCCGGAGGTCCCCCATCAAGCCCCACCAGGAGGGGGGGGGGGTGCAGCCTCAGGTCCCCCACCCCGGCCAGGCGCCCGCAGCCTCAGGTCCCTGCTGATCACTTGTTATGGCTCATTATGGGAACCCCGCCTCCGCTGTGGGCGCAACCATCTTGTGTTATGGGAACCCTGCCGCTGCTGTGGGTGCAGCCATCCTGTGATGGCGTGGCGGAGTGAGGGTGGATTTGCACATTACCTCTTTATTATATAGGGTGTTAAGGACAATGCTGAAAGGAATATAAGTAAATTGCTATGTAACATCTTTGGTAACACTCCACAGATTGTTTTTCACTCACTATAAGCTCCTTGAGTAAAGAGAACATATATTATTCATCTTTTTGTCTCCTACACTACTTAGAACAGCTTCTGCTATGAGTAGGCCCTTGGTAATGGCTACCAAGCTGATAATGAAAATTCCCTATGAAACAAAGTTCTTATTCAAACTTAGCCACCAAGCATATTGAGTACTTTTAAAGGTACCGATATAATGTGGGGAGGGGCAGGAGCTTTACAAAAACAATCTTGGTTTAGTACTCTCCAAAAAAGGGAGCCCTTAGGTCTTACTTTTACTGAAAAGTAAAGAGAATTTGTGTACATGGAGGCTTAATATCACCTATAGCGGGAAACTAAGACAATAAACCAGGTGGAATGAGTAGGGATTGTCTGCTGCAGCAAAGAGGAGCAGAAGAAGTGAATGCTGGGATGGTTTTCTTTTGATCATATCAGCATAGGAAAAGGACACAGAGGGCTTGAGCTCAACTGGGTTTCACAGTATAACAAATCACAATACAACTACCACCATGATGCTTCCATTATCTCATTTGGATTGCTACTAAAATGAGTTCTATTGTTTATACTAGAGGCCCAGTGCACAAAATTCGTGTACGGAGGGGTTTGTGGGGGGAGTGGTCCCTCAGCACAACCTGCATCCTCTCCAATCCAGGAGCCCTCAGGGGGTGTCCTACTGATGGCTTAGGCCCACAGTCTGGCCTCCCTCTGTGGGAGGCAACTGAGCCGATCAGGGGAAGGCACCGCCCCCATCACCCCGCTGCTGCTGCCATTGCCGGCCGCCAAGGTGTTTTCATCAACACGGACTCCAGTCCCTTCACCACAAAAAAATGACAACTTTCTTAGGCATTTTCAAGATGTCTCTTTCATAGGATATGACATTTCTGTCTTTCTTTTTTTTTTTTTTATCCTCACCTGAGGATATTTTTCCATTGATTTTTAGAGAGCATGGAAGAGAGAGGGAAAAACAGAAACATCAATGTGAGAGGGACACTTTGATTGACTGCCTCCTGCATGAGCCCTGACTTTGCCCCTGACCAGGAAGGAGCCTGCAACCTAGGTACATGCCCTTGACCAGAATCGAACCCGGACCCTGCGGTCCGCAGGCCGAGGCTCTATCCACTGAGCCAAACCAGCTAGGGCAGGATATGACATTTCTTAGCCCCTCCAGCAGTGGACCTTCATTTTTTCCTCCAGAAGTGAGGTGGAAAAGCCCTAGATCACCTTCTTAGATTCTTATTACGCAATTTACCAAGAACACTGCGAGTGGCGTACCGGGAGCTTAGTGAATGAGTGGTCAGAAAAGGTGTTTCCTCTGCAGCTCACACATAGAGGCGGGACTGCCGGCGCACCCAGGCTGGCAGGCCCTTTTCCCTGTGGGCCTCCTCACCGCAGGGCTGCTGGCAAGCCTGTTCTCTGCTTTCTGCAGGCCTGTCTGCTCGCCGCCACCGCCGCTGTGGCCCATAGGCAAGTCCTGCTCCCTGCCCTCTGCGGGCCTGCCTGCTCACCGCTGCTGCCATGGCCCGCAGGCAGGCCCTGCTCCCTGGTCTGCGGGCCTGCACCATCTGTGGCTTGCCTCACCAGGCAGCAGTCCCTTCCCGCCCACCCACGCACACAGCCTTTGTGACTGTTACGGAGTCCTGGCTAATTTGCATATTACCTCTTTTTATTTATACACACACACACACACACACACACACACACACACACACACACACACAGAATAGCACTAAAGGATTAGAAACCAGAGAATCTGAGCTGGTAGCAACCGCAGTCCTCTTCTCTTTGGTCACAGAATACCTTCTTCAAATACAATTTAATAAATGACCCCTCTATATTAAAAAAGATAAATCAGAATTGCTCGATTTACTACTCAGTTTTCAGTAGGTGGCTTGGCACCCTGCTTGAGGCACCTCCCATAGAATCACTATGGATGTAAAATTTGAAAACTACTGATGAGTTCAAACTCCTCACTTTTCCGAGGTTACACACCTGCCCGGGCAATGAATGAAAGAGGTAAAACTAGAATCCAGCAATGCCAGCACCCAGAGAGGGTTCTTCCCACTATATTCCATGCTGCTTCCAAAAAACAAAGGAAGATGACAGAGTTCATACTTACCATCTTTGTTCAGCCATTGCTTTCTTGTTCTGTACAAAATGAGCTTGTTGTGGACATACGGTAAAAGGAACTTGACACACCAGCTCTCCACACCAAGTTTGTTTTCAACCAGGACTATGGGGCTCCGGTTATACCTAGCTTCAGGACATGGGATCAGGCCAATTTCATCTCTTAATATGTAAAACATAAAAAACAATTAAAAATAAGAATACTACCTTTTCAATCCTGCAGAGCATTTTTAAAAATCCACTAATTCCTACTTCTTAAAAGTATTATTTAGCTCACCTACTGGATTGGTAGAAATTTTTTAAAACCACCAGATTTTTAATATTGGCAACAGTACAGGAAAATTAGTATGCTATAATCCCTGTTGATTGGAATAAAAATCAGTCTAATCTTTGAATGGAAATCTGAAAATTTTTCAAAATTTTAAATATACATACTCTTTGACCCGTGATTCCACTGCTCAGAAATTATACTGTACCAAATTTTTTGAACGGGATGTTGACTGCAACAACACTGGAAATAATCTAAATGTGTATGAATATAAGACTAGTAAAATATATATGGTTTATCCATGTAGTAAGAGGTGTAAAAAAATGAGGTAGATATGCATATGTTGGTATGAAAAAGGTGCCAAGATCTATGAAAAAGCAAAATGACAAATATAGTGTATACCATAAAGCCTTCTGTGTAATTTTTTAAAAGAGCTATATATGCATTAAAATTTTTCTTGGAAAGATACCAAGAAACTTTTGGGGTGATAAAGGATTTTATTTTTGTACAGTTTAAATTTTCTAATCACTTGTATATATTACTTCTATCTTTTTAAAAATGTGAACAAATGTACTTATGCTTGCCTGCTAATAAATGTATGTGGAAACAAATTATCAGTAAAACTTATTTTGTCATTGAGATTGTGGACCATATTTTATGTTCTTTATAATCCTTTAAACTTAAAAAAAAACACACACACACACACTAGTAAATGTTAAAACACAAAATACATCTCAGAATTTGATCATTTTCATCAAAGGCATCAAAGTGGATTCCTCAATCCACTTCAACTCAAGTTGAAAATCTATGTTACAGGCCAAGATTTAGTAAACAATATGTAAGGCAGTTGATTTACACAGTAAATGAACCAGCAAACATAATGTTTCTGCAAAGCCTACACACATGCTTTTCAAGTAAGGAAATTACCTTCTTGCTTACATGAAACATTCCTTCTCAAAGAGTATGCCCTTCCCTTAATTAATGAATAGCTAATAAAATTTTTTTAATAAAAGCAGCTAACAAATAATAACATTTTTAGACTATCTAAATAGATTTTTCAGATGTTCTTTAAAAACAAAACTGGTTTTCAGAGCTTGTGTATTACATTATCTATTCTGTCCCTGGGGTTCTCCTGCCAAGAAGACAGTAGTTTCATAGATGAAAGAGGAGGAAACATGTCTAATTATAGGTTATAAGAAAAGCCCTCTTTTTTTGTTAGGCCATCAATACAAATTGGTGGGAGGCCGTGGAACACAAAATCCTTCCTAGAAACTCTAAACAGAATAGTTCAAAGGTGACCTGGTTTCTACTGATCACTTCATTAGTGACACAGGGATATACATTAATAAAAAAGGGTACTCTAAGGGTTGCAAGTCTCTAACCATTCTTTCAAGCTAACTTAACTTGTAAATATATTTTAAGACCTAAGGCTTTTGTCCTGACAACTAGCTCAGTTGATTCAGAGGTGTTCAATACACCATGTCAATACTATCTAAACATTTTATGAGTACTACTCTAATGTACTGGCTACTGTGCTAGATTCTGAAAATGCAAAAATGAACAAGGTGGTCCCAGGTTTCACAGAGCTGATGGTTTTGCTGGGGAGTTGTTTCAGTATTTACACTAATAAAAGAGAAAGATGCAAACTGACCGTACCTTCATGACACCCCACCAGCCAATCCAGAGTATGCAACTTAACCCAACAAAGATGGCGGGTTAATTTGCATATGCAGGCGCCAAGCGGCCGGGTGCGGGGCGGGACTGGCCCAGTCGCTCCGGGCCTCTGGGCAGCGTGGGAAGGCGGAAAGGCGGCTCCAGGCCAGAGCAAAGGCGGTGCCAGCAGCCAGGGGAAAGAAGGCACATTCTTACACGAATCTTTGTGCAGCGAGCCTCTAGTCTATAATAAAATGTTACCACTTTGTCATTCTAGTAATATAAAAAAAATTCTGTAGGAATAATTAACCAATGCTGAGAGATCATCTGAGGGAGGTCAATGTCCAGTACACTGTTTTTGCATTTGTATTTGGTGATAGGACAACTAGCCACATCTAGATCTATACCCGATTAATATATGTTAGAATCTCTGATATTTTCTGGTGTTCAGGTTTTACTATATAAAGTAGATCATTTAATAACTAGAATAATAGTAAAAAACAGCTCTGACTGGTTTGGCTCAGTGGATAGAGCGTCGCCTGCAGACTGAAAGGTCCCAGGTTCGATTCCGGTAAAGGGCATGTACCTTGGTTGTGGGCACATCCCCAGTAGGGAGTGTGCAGGAGGCAGCAGATCGATGTTTCTCTCTCATTGATGTTTCTCACTCTCTATCTCTCTCCCTTCCTCTCTGTAAGAAATCAATAAAATATATTTTTTAAAAAATAGTAAAAAACAAAAACAACCTCAGTTCAATTATTTCGGAAAGTTTGTTCTGAGGTCTAATAATCACTTACAACACTGCCAAGAACTGCAAAAGTCAACAATATGAATGTTGGAGTAACAAAAATAAAAGAATCCTAGCTTCTGGGTACAGCCTGGTGGTTTGTTTTGTTGTTTTGTTTTGTTTCTGGTTTTTTTTGGGGGGTGGGGGGGGGGGGAGATGGGTTTTTATTACTTAAAATTCACAATATAAAAAAACAAAACCCTGCCTTGCTCACTATTTATACCCCAAACAAAATGCCCAACTACATGTACCTAAATGACAGAACAGAGCCATCTGCACACATACAAAAAAAACTGCACATTGTTTTAGTTGGCTACTGCACTTCCAAGCAATAATTAAAAAACTAAGAATACCTTGGATACAGTAGGTGCTCAGTAACTGCTACTGAAAGGTTGATTATCCTTGCACTTTGGTGATAATATTCAAAATAAATAAAGTTCAAAGAGCATCACTTCTCGATTCTGCAAGAAAACCTAACCACTGATTTCCTTCTAAGGCAGTGGGCTCAACTCCTAGCTCTGTCAATGTGATATATAGAGCATGTCACTTGGTCTCTGTAGATCTCATTTTCCTAACTTTTAAAATGTGGAATTACATTATATGTCTACGTAAAGGCAATGGGCTGCTAGGTCTCCTCTTATCCAACTTTCAAATTTTAAGACCTGGCAGCTTTTCTCAAGTAAGAATGAGAACTGTCATATCAGGAAATGTAAAGCACTAGAAAATAAAAAAAAATCCAAATTAAAAGAGAGGCAGTAATATATAGCGACAAAAGCACTTGATCTTCTGAGGTCGAGATCTCCGTTCTACCACTGACAGTCAATGTGAACTGAGTAAGTCACTTGGCCATCAGTATCCTCATCTGAAATACAGAAATAATACTTTCCCTGCCTATTATAAAGAGCAAATAATACATTGTAAAGAAATGTGGTTGCCCTAGCTGGTTTGGCTCAGTGGATAGACTGTTGGCCTACAGACTGAAGGGTTCTGAGTTCAGTTCTGACCAAGGCCACATACCCGGGGTTGTGGTCTTGATTCCCAGTAGGGGGCGTGCAAGAGGCAGTAGATCAATGATTCTCTCTCATAATTGCTGTTTCTATCTCTCTTCCTCTCCCTTCCTCTCTGAAATCAATAAAAATACATATTTTTTAAAATGTGGTAACCTGTAAAGTGCTCAATCCTCATATCTACGTTTCTCGTCTCCCTCCTTTCCACTCTCTCTAAAAATCAATGGAAAAATATCCTCAGGTGAGGATTAAAAAAAAAAAAAGAGCCTGAGGTCAAACTGGAAAGTTCCTTGCTTAACAGATACTGATAAAGTGAGGAAAAGAATGTTAAGCTTTTACCGAGTTATTTGACCCTAAAATACAGTGCTTTGCTGCTTCCTAAAAATATAACAAGTACTTTAGGCAGATAGGTGGGTCAGTAAGCTTCCAAATAACCGTGTGCGTGACTTCAGACTTCTATGTCTAGTCCCTTAGGTCATAGTCCACTTTTTTCCCCCCAGACAATTTGGGATTCCAGAATCATTTTAAAATTGGAAGGGACCTCATTTGTCTAGTCTCTCATTTTATCAGATGAGGAAACTGAGGTCCAATAAGGTCAATAGAATTAACCCAAGGTCATTTTGGCCAGTGGCTAAATTAAAAATTGGGACTTCCTTTTCAGAGGGAAGGCAGGTGAGGGAGGGTGGGTGGGTAGGTAGGTGGGAAGAAAACTTGTAACGCATACATGAATAATACATCAACACACACAATAGGGTGGTGAAGGCCTGGGGCAGGGGTGGGGGTCGGGCTAGAAGGGGTCAATGGGGAAAAAAAGGAGGACATATATAATACTTTCAACAATAAAGATTAAAAAAAATTAGGACTTCCTAATATTTAGCTCCAAATCCTTGTAGCCACAGGAAAGTGAAAGCAAGCAGGATTTATATTAATTCCTTCTAGATTTCCGGTATTTGAATTCTAATTTTCTACTCAAGAAAAGTTGGGAAACTCAGGGAAAAAACAGCTAAAAGTCATCTGCCAGCCATCTACCACTGTTATATTTGGGCATGTGACCTTTTTTTCTAAATATTTTATAAAGTGAGATTATACTGGACATACTCCTATAATCCTTTTTAAAAATTTAATTCACAGTAATAACTTTCCTACTAATTAATACATATTTAATGGTTGCACTGAATGTGCTATAAATATAAAATACATCTCCAATTATTTCCTTATGAAATGTCTTAGAAATTTTTGAGTTTTTCACTGCCAGCAAATTTCATTCCTTTATATTTATAGTTTCTAGAAATTGAGATTCCTGGTATTTAACAAGGATATCTGCATTACCAAGGCAATAGGATTTTTAGAGTTGTTAATATTTAGGATGATAATCAAGTTCTGATCTTTTTAAAGAGATACCACAATGCTCACTTTTTAGGTTCCTTTCGAGCGCTGAATGTCCCACCACATTTACTTAGAAAGATCGGTATGTCTCTGAGTGCTTCACTTCGCAATGGGGATCCAGTGCCTTCCAGATGAAGTTCAATGTTCACATAACACTAATATTGACTTTGACCCTCATGTTTAGACAGTGTCTCTTATCTATACTTTTCAGAAATATCATCCATCAACTGGAGTAGGCCCATTTATTTTTCACAAAATATTGACCAGCTTCCCTTCAAGAGGGAAGGATGGTCCCCAAATACTAAAACCAAACCCTGCAATGTGGAGTGATAAACAGAAAACAGCCCAAGGATACAGGACAAATCTTTTAAATCTAACATTTCATTTTTGTTTCTCTTCAAACTGGAATTTTTTTAAGAATGACCAAAGGGAAAGTTAGCAAATCTGCTAAAGGAACTGACTTTGTATATCACTGAAATTATATTACTGACCTTATGCAGAAAACATCTACACAAATTACAACTGTTTATTGAATGTGCATTGTATGCAATATTTTATATCAGGCTTTTCATACACTATTTCATTTATTCTGCACAATAATTTTATAAAGTAGGAATTTTAACCCATTTTAAAAATGAGGAAAGAATCTTGTCTAAGTCTACCCAACTAGTAAATGATAAGCCAAGATTCAAACCCAGGGCTGCCGGACTCCAAACCCAAACATTTTATAACTAACTATACAATTATTTAAATAAACAGATAAAAATCATGTGTAAAGAAGGACTTGTATGCATGCATAATAAGCATAACCAATGGACATAAGACACTGGGGGGGTAGGGGAGGCCAGGGGATTGTTAAGGGCGGGGGGAAAAAAAGCAGACATATGTAATACTCTTTGTAATACGTTAAGCAATAAAACAATAAAAAAAAATCATGTGTAAGAAGACAAGAGACTCTCTGGTTTCTGATTCTTCAGTTAAATTTGCAGACAGACAATCTAAAACTGCCTTCATTACTACTACCTTCATTGGGCCCTACCCACTACCTAGGAAGGGTGTATTTTCTCTGAGCCAACTTTTATCCATCCCTCATAGCTCAATTTAATTATTTTCTCAGAAAGAGCTATTTTGACCATTTAACCTAAATTAGGCCTCTATCCATGCTTCTTATCCTTTGGGGCTCTTTTCATAATCCCTGTATTGATTTGTTTAAAGTTCCATTAGGGCAGGGACCATGTGTGGTGTGTTCATCAATCTACACCCTGCTCCTAGTCCTGCAGACCCAGAATTAGCATTGCAAAAAGAAGTGCTCTTTTGCTGAATGCATGCATGGTATGAAAGAAATTAAACCACAGTCAGGATTTCCTACATAATCTGGTCCTACTGTATCTTTTCAATTACATTTGCTATCTGGGGTTAGTTTACTGTTCCCTGCGGAGGTCTTTGGCTCCGAATCTGAGATAAATCTTACCTAGTTTTCAAAGTTCAGCTCAAAACCCACCTACCCTAAGGGCCTTGGCCAAGACATTCCATACCCAGCCTCACTTCTAAAACCCACATAACATTAGCTCACCAGACTGCTAGTCCAGCCTTTATTATAAACCACTTTGCAGGGTTAATTTACTGTTCTTGCAGGAAGGTCTTAGGTCACCATCTACACCTGTACTGTGTAATACAGTAGTCACTAGGAATATGTGACCATTATGTATAAATCAATTAAGATTCAATCAAATTTAAAATTCAGTTCCTCATTTGCATTAGCCACATTTTAAGCACTCAAGCTACATGTGGCTCATAGCTATATTAGACAGAACAGGTATAGAACATTTCTATCATCATAGATATTTCTGTGAGTGTCTTGAGTATAACTGTGTTTTATATTCCTTCCTATTCTACACTGTGAAGATGGTACCTACAGCACCTCGTAAACAGTGAGAGTTCAATAAATATTTAAAAGTAATAAAAAATAACCTGCTGGAGACCTCTGTCATGACCCCAATTCCACTGTAAACAGGAGCCTTCTGCTTTAGCACAGGCTCTATACAGTAATTTACTGTCAGTCCCTGGGTCAAGCCTTCAGTTGTTTTTCCAATAGTAGTCTCTAAGAGTCAACCACAAAAACAACATTCCTATGGTATTTTTCAGTTCATGAAGTGTTCCATATTCACCATTCATATATTTTTTAAGGAGCACAGGGATTCAGGCTAAGCCTAATATTTACCCAGTGGCAACTAAGTGTTACCAGATATTGTGTAAGGTAATTTTCCTGTGTTCTCATCAGCCTCACTAGATCAAGAGGAAACTGAGGCTCAGAGAAGGTAACCTATCCACACCCACCACTAACAAAATCCACATATCAACCACTGTATCTTTCACTGTGTCTTTGACTCCTCCTGGCTAGAGATCTCTACAAAGTCAATGGAGTTGATGTTGACTAATAAAATTGCAATCTATCTTGTGTTTGGAGAAAAAGAAAAACAAAAAGTAAAGAATGAAAACCTTTCTTTTTTAATACTGAAAACTGTAATTAGGTACTAACTTTCAAGGTAAACAATGCTCCCCCTCCCCCCTTTAACTAGAAATACAGCCTATTTGGGGGGGAGGGGCTAGATTGGGGAAAGAAGTATAGACAATTTTGAAAAGTCCAAATTATAAGACATTTTAAAGGGTGTATAGTAATATCATTGAAGATATTATTATTGCAGGAAATATGTACTAAAATATAGCTGAAGACTGTTATTGAACAATGGGTTAAGCTACTTAATTTTTCAGCCCTATATTATATATCATTATTTCAAATGCCCATCTTATTTCATACTTTTAAATCCTGAATGACCCAAATGCTTAAGCGTAAATTATGCATTCATTGAGTACATTCATGAGATTTCACCATAAGAATATGATTAAAGAAGATATTAAAATCCTTTATAAGTTTCAATAAATGTGATCCAGGAGAATTGGGATGTGTTCCAAACAGCACTGTGTCAACCTGCCAATGAACACTCAATCTGTTTCTTCAAGTATAAAATACCGATGCTTTTCTAATCTACCTCAACGGCAAGAAACTAAGATGATTACTGTACTTATTAGATTAGACTTCTTGCTAACCTGTTATAATCTCTTCAAGAAAAATAACACCAATGAGGAGGAAACAGGCCCTTCGTTTGTCTGGTTTTTTTTTTTTTTTTTTTTTTTTTGATGATGTCTCTCATTTGCCCTAAAGCTCTATTTCTGAAAAAGGGACGGAAAGACTGATATACAAGGCATCAAAGCATTCTTCACAAGGCCCAGTCCCCACTATGGTTACTGCCAAGAAATCATTCCAAACGCTCATTCTCAAAGTGTCGGCAGTCACAAGGGGAAAGGAAGTGGACACTGCCAGAGGCGGCCGGTGCGTTTGGAGGCCAGCAGTGCTTTGTTTTTAATGAGGCACAGATGCAGGTCTCCAACTGTGTGCCACCAGAGAGCAAGGCATCCGAGGGCTTCTCAACTCTTTTATAAGCATCGCCCGGAAGGAAGAGAAGGCTTCGCGTTGATGTAGGTTTGGCACCTCTTTTAGGCAGGGAGGCTTAAGGGCTTAGACCACTTAAAAAAAGTAACTCGTGAGTTCTAAAGAATAACATATTACACAGAAGAGATAAAGATAACGCAAAACTGGATTCTATGTTTCTTTTGTGGGTGAGGGATGGGAGAAGAGCTCCACTCCTGCTTCTCCCTCTTTTGTACAATGTAGCTCGCTCGCTCGCTCTCTCTCTCCCCAGCTTCCTATTCGCTTGCTACATACAAGCACAAGTGCCAGAAAGAAGATCATTTCTCCTATCTCCCCAGTGAAACGGAGAGGAAGCAGGGAAGACACAGCGTGGCAGTGCTCTGTGTGCTACTTAAACAGGGCAGCAGGGTCTGGATTAAAAAAATAATAATAATAAACTGGTTCATGTGCTTGCTCCCTGTTACGATGGTTCAGCTAATGCTAAAAGGTGTCGAGGTTTCATCTACTTTCCGTTCGACTCCTCCTGTGCCGACGGACGCTAAACTCCCGAGAATGCTCGGTTCACCTTCAAAACACAATGTTTCGTCGGAGTCCCTGTGCAACCTTGGGAAGCAGCCTCCACTCCCTCTGGTTAGAAAGCTGAGAGGGGTCCGGGCCCGCTGAGGACCAGCTGATCGGTGACCCCTCCGACCAGCGGCCGGGATGAGCCGCAGCGGAGTTGTGTGTACGCAGCACAGAGACTCGCATCGCGTGTGCGCCCGGGTCCCCTTCCCGATCAGACGGGGGAGGCGGACGCCCGGAGGACGTCTTTCCAGGTTCCCGAACTCCTGGGAAAGGACGGGGGCCGGGGGAGCCGCAGAGCGAAACAAACTCGCTCCCCGTGCTTTTCCGAGGTCACTGCGAGGGACGCTCCCGGCAGCGGTCCCGGGGCGGAGAGCGGGCCCCGCGGCGGCCGGCGGCGATCCGGCCGCGACCTGGCTCCCTCCCCTGCAGCGAGCGGCGCGCCAGGCCCCGCCGCCCGCGAGTCGCCGCCCGAGGTCGGCTCCGGGCTCGGCCCCGCCCCCCTCCGTCCCCGACGACCCCCGGAGACGGCGGCCACGCCGGCGCGCGACTCACATGTGCGGGTTCCTCCGGAAGGCGTTGGTGATGTCCTTCACCACCCGCTGCACCAGCACCGCCACCTCCTCGCTCGTCTCGGCCATGTTGGCGGCCGGGCGGCTCGGGCGCGCCTCCGGGACAGCGCAGCGCGGCCGGCGGGGTTCCGCGGGGAGCGCGCGTGTGCGCCGGTTTGGCGGAGCTCCCGCCTCCGCCCCTGCCGCCGCCGCGGCCGCCGAGAACTTCCGGGTCGTCCGCCGGTGGCCGGGGCGTGGCGCCCGCGGGGACCGGAGCGGCCTGGTGGGTCGGGCCCTGACGTCCTCTCCTGGTCCCTAACAGTTGGTCAGCGTCCCGGAAGATGCTGCAGACTCAGTGGCAGGTCTCGGTCTTACACATTTTATTTTCATTTCTATCCAGTCGGGGCTGCGAGTAAGTGGTCCTCAGGTCATCCCTGTCCCGGCAACTTCCATTCTGCAGGAGTTGCCAGGTCCCGGGAGCCCCCGAGGGAAGTTTCCTTGCGACTGCAAGTCCTCGTGAGCAGTCAGTACCTTTTGTTTTGTTTTTTGAATATATTTTTTAAAATATATTTTATTGATTTTTTACAGAGAGCGATAGAGAGTTAGAAACATCGATGAGAGAAACATCGATCAGCTGCCTCCTACACACTCTCTACTGGGTACGTGCCCGCAACCAAGGTACATGCCCTTGACCGGAATCGAACCTGGGACCCTTCAGTCCGCAGGCCAACGCTCCAGCCACTGAGCCAACCCGGTTAGGGCATGTTTTCTGAATATATTTTATTGATTTTTTTACAGAGAGGAAGGGAGAGGGATAGAGAGTTAGAAACATCGATCAGCTGCCTCCTGCACACTCCCCACTGGGGATGTGCCCGCAACCAAGGTGCATGCCCTTGACCAGCCAGGTTCCCTTGAGTCCGCAGGCCGAGGCTCTATCCACTGAGCCAAACCGGTCAGGGCACAGTCAGTACCTGTGAGAACTTATTTGCTTTATTTTTCCAGCTGTCGGGAGGAGGCCTTCAGAGGCGCTCCTGGCAGAAGGAGCCCCGATTGGACCTTGTTGGGGGCTTCCTTTTCCTGCGTGCCAATTTCGGCCTCGGAGCAGCCGTCCTCAACCATTAATTTTTAAACAAACTTAACGAATGCATTCAAGGAAGGAATAGGAAAGAAAAGGAAACGTTCTTTGCCAGCTGGATATAGGAAGTAGGAGTTCAGTACTGAAATATTTTTTTCAGGTTTTCTACGGAGTGTGTGGTGGGCCCTACCTACCTGCCACAAATTCAGCCAACTTTGGATAGAGAAGGTGTGGGAAGAAAAAGGTTGTTGCGAGGGTACTGGGTAATTAAGCCCAGGATGGTTGGTTCTGTATTGAACATCTTGTTTTTTTTCTTGTCATTACTCCCTGAATAGTACAGTGTAACAACTATTCATATAGCATTTACATTGTATGAGGCAATAGAAGTAACCTAGAGATGACTTAAAGTCTATGGGAGATGTGCAGTAGACTCAAATAGGACTCCACTTTTTCATGAGACTTAAGCACCTGTGGATTTTGGTGTCCGTGGGGATCATAGAATCAATCCCGCCCCTACCAAGAGACAACCGGACTTCATTTTCCGCAAGGTTTGGAGTCCTCTGAACACTGCGTCAGTTTCGGAGTGAGAAAGTCAAGGCCCTGATAGAGTTTGCTTTTGTAACTATTTACCTTGCTGCAAATCATTTTTGTGGGGAAAAGAGGATTTCTAGTTAATGTGGATTTTGAAATGCCACAGTTCAAACATTATACATCAGATTTTCCTTCATCCTTCTGTAATAGAAAAAAATCTGCCTTCAGTTCAGTTATTTTTACTTAATCCTTGAAATCTGTATTTTTTTAAACTTTTTTAAAAAGAAAGGCAAGCTTATTGTCTGTTTAATGTAAAGATATGTGGAGCATTTGAAGTAGGGTTGATTATCAAAGAATAATTTTGGGTGCAAAATTGTAACCCGTTGAATGAGAAATGTAAATTAACTATATCCAATAGTCAACACTCCCTGTAGGTATATTTATAAAGGATAGAACTACTGTTTAGACATTGGCCATATGTTTTTAATAGAAACGAGCTAGAAGATTCACAAAATTGTAAAAAAGCAAGATGGGACAGGTTTTAGTTTGTAAATCAAACAAATCTTAACCTCTTGACGCTCCTCAGAGGAGGAAGTGCAGTGAGTGAATGTGTGTTCAGATTCCCAAGGCCAAGGACAACTTCAAATATCTTAGTTACTCTAAGAATGTGATACCAGTTCTCAAATGTTTGAGTTAACTGACATCTTCTTCCTCTTCACTTAATCAAAGCCTTGCATCTTTTCCTAATAAAAGTGAAAAAATAAATCCTGACTTCTGGGGGACAGAGCTCAAAGCAGCACTCTCAGAAATATACTTTTTTTTTTTCAAAGACTTTATTTTTTATCTTAAAAATTGATGAATTTTGTATCTCACCCTAATATATTTGACAGGGGTAAAACCCAAACTTTGTCCCTAAATCCTGAAGTAAGATTGATATTCCAGAAAGATAACTCCTCCTTACGGTTCTGTGTATCCCTCCCCACATAACACATACAGGAGCACACACCCTCTTTATGCTCATTTGAAAGGCATGAATTGTGTCTCACATCTTCTTCTAAGAGTTAACAAATTGTTTTACTCACGTATTAAGGATCTACTGTATTTATAACTCAAGGTTTTTAGAATTGGAGCATATTAGAACTGATCCAAACCCATACTTTTGCAGAAAAAGAAAACTGAGGTTGAAAGAAGTTAAGAATTGAAATTCATAATACTTTAGTAATATATAAGATATGATATGATATTTGACAAATTTAGCAAGATTTTCTTGAAGGACTCAAACATGTATGTTCAGGAATCTGCAAAGTACATTTACTGATAATGAAAAATTACAAATAGCTTGAATGCCCAACAACAGAGATTGATTAAATTATAATAAATCTATTTGATGAGAAATTGTTTAGTCATAAAAGCACACTCTAGCTAGAAGAACTCTTAGGGGGAGGTATATTTATAGGATAATTTTACTTTCTAAGTAATTCAAAGAACAAAATATAATTTTTGTAACTTAAGAAAAGTTTTATATCATCAACAAATCAGGAAACGACAAGTGCTGGAGAGGATGTGGAGAAAAAGGAACACTTGTGCACTGCTGGTGGGAATGCAGACTGGTGCAGCCACTATGGAAGACAGTATGGAGTTTCCTTAAAAAACTGAAAATGGAACTCCCATTTGACCCTGTGATCCCACTTCTAGGAATATATCCCAAGAAACCAGAAACACCAATCAGAAAGGATATATGCACCCCTATGTTCATAGCAGCACAATTCACCATAGCTAAGATCTGGAAACAGCCTAAGTGCCCATCAGTAGATGAATGGATTAGAAAACTGTGGTACATCTACACGATGGAATACTATGCTGCTCTAAAAAGGAAGGAACTCTTACCATTTGCAACGTCATGGATGGAACTGGAGAGCATTATGCTAAGTGAAATAAGCCAGTCAATGAAGGAAAAATACCACATGATCTCACTCATTCATGGATAATAGAGACCATTATAAACTTTTGAACAATAATAGATACAGAGGCAGAGCTGCCTCGAACAGATTGTCAAACTGCAGCAGGAAGGCCGGGGAGGGTTGCGGGGCAGGAGGTAGGGGGGTAAGAGATCAACTAAAGGACTTGTATGCATGCATAGAAGCATAACCAGTGGACATAAGACATTGGGGGATAGGGGAGGCTAGGGGACTGTCTAGGGCGGGGGGATAAAATGGACACATATGTAATACCCTTTGTAATACTTTAAGCAATAAAAAAAAAAAAAAAAAAAAAAAAAAAAAAAAAGAAAAGTTTTAAAAGTATATGTTAATAAAGACATGGATATATTTATCTATTAATTAGCCAATTGTCTCTTATTTTATTTATTTATTTATTTATTTATTTATTTATTTATGTGATTTTAGAGAGAGGAAGGGGGACAGAGAGAAACATCAACGTGAGAAAGAAACATCCATGTGAAAGAGAAATATCAATCATTTGCTTCCCACATGTGCCCTGATTGGGGATCAAACCCACAACCTGGATATGTGCCCTGATGGGAATCAAACCCACCACCCTTTGGTGTATGGAACAATGCTCTAACCAACTGAGCCATACTGGCCAAAGCACCAATTACTTCGTACATATTAATTTTTTTAGAGATGTATTGATTTTAACTTGACCATGCCTCTAATTATTGTTCACATGGCTGTGAATGTGTTTTGACAATCCTTCCACATCTCCCCCTAATCATACTTTTCATATTTTAGAAGACTATTTGATGATAGGGGAAAGGTAGATATGAAATGACAAAAAAAAAGTACCAAAACAGCATATAAGATAACCCTCATATATACAAAATGAATTGTACACAATCTATAATAATAAAAGTGTAGCCCTAACTGGTTTGGCTCAGTGGATAGAGCGTTGGCCTGCGGACTCAAGGGTCCCAGGTTTGATTCCGATCAAGGGCATATATCTTGGTTGCGGGCACATCCCCAGTGGGGAGTGTACAGGAGGCGCTGATTGATGTTTCTCTCTCATCGATGTTTCTAACTATCCCTCTCCCTTACTCTCTATAAAAAAATCAGTAAAATATATATTTTTAAAAAGTGTAATATGCTGCCCTGACCGGCGTGGCTCAGTGGATAGAGCGTCAGCCTGCGGACTGAAAGGTCCCAGGTTCGATTCCGGTCAAGGGCATGTACCTTCGTTGTGGGCACATCCCCAGTAGGGGGTGGGCAGGAGGCAGCTGATCGATGTTTCTCTCTCATCGATGTTTCTAACTCTCTATTCCTCTCTGTAAAAAATCAATAAAATATATTTTTAAAAAAGTGTAATATGCTATTAGACTGGACAGCCGAACGACCTTCCAAACGTCATTTTGGACGTCCTTCTGGACAAAGCCGTGGCAGCGGGGGCTGAGGCAGAGGCGGTTAGGGACGATCAGGTAGGCAGGCTAGCAGTTAGGGGTGATCAGGCAGGCATGCCAGCAGTTAGGGGGGATCAGGCAGACAGGCAGCATAGTTAGGGGAGATCAGGCAGGCAGGCAAGTGGTTAGGTGTGATCAGGCAGGCAGGCAAGTGGTTAGGGGTGATCAG